GGGTCCATATATATGATCAAAAAGTCTTTGATGACATCAAAAAATTATTTATTCATATAAATAACCGAGTTGAAAGGAAACAAAAATTCTTCCAGAGTCGGAGAATTTTGTTGAAGTCGATCGATGAATACTTCTTCTCAGTTTATGGATAAGCAGATAATGGATCTATCTTCTTCATCTCCACCTTCCACTGATTTCATCGATCTGATGAACAACAGTAGTGATTCACAGGAAGATGATCACCGGAAGCACCGGATCGGAGATAATGGATTGGAGTCGAAGAAGGAAGAGATCGTTCCTAGTTATGATTTTCAACCGATTCGTTCTTACACGGCCGGTGGATTGTCTCATTCGGCTCTAGATCTCGCCGGATCTACCACTTCTACGTCGGCTAGGGTTTGGTCCCCTTCTGATTTTAAACCCATTTCCACTTCGTCAAATAGGGTAATAGTTATCGAATCTTCGTCAATTAGTGTGTTTTCTCTTTCAATTACTTTACCAGCCTTATTGATTGTTTGTATGCGTTTTGCAGGGTTTTGGATCTTTTGACTCCTCTATTGAACCTGCGAAGTTGGCTTCTGAGAAGGGGCAGAATGTGTCTAGCACGGCGATTATCTCTGAGATTGATAGGACAATTAAGAAACATGTAGATACCTTGTTGCATGTAATGGAAGGTGTGAGTGCACGTGTAACTCAGCTGGAGACTAGAAGCCACAATCTCGAATACCTTGTCGATGATCTCAAAGCTTCTGTTGAGAACAGTCACGGAAGCACCGATGGGAAGATGAGACGGCTTGAGAATATCCTTGTAGAGGTAACTTTGCGGAAAGTTTTTTAGAAACTATCGATATGGAATTGGATTTTAGACATCGTTCAATGCCATGTTCTGTGTTTGTGGGAAGATGAAATTGGCATTAAGTTCTTGTGTATTCCTGTAGCCTACAATTCTAGCCTTTCCTGGGAACTATTGGTGTCTCTCATAGAGAAGTTATCTCCTGCTTTAAGCCCATTTAAGAAGCAATTTTTTTTAATACATTTTGTTTATGCTGTGGTTCATTCTTTATGTGACTTGCGTGCAGGTGCAAAGTGGTGTACAACTATTGAAGGACAAACAAGAAATTATTGAAGCTCAGCTTCAGCTCTCGAAGCTTCAGATATCCAAAATAGACCATGTTGATCCTACTGCTCAACTGCCCGCACCAGTCCCTGCGCAGCAAATGCCGCAGTTTCCTCATACATCTTTCCCACAGCCACCATCTTCCGCTGCTGCTCCGTCCCAGCAGCCATCCTCGCATCAGAATCTCCAACAACCGTCCTCGGCACTACTAGCTCAGCTACCCAGTCAGTTTTCTCCTCAACAAGAGCCGTATAGCCCTCCGCCGAGTCATTCCCAAACACCTCCTCCTTACCAAGCTCCTCCTCAAACCCAGCCGTCGCATCAACCATCTTATCAGCCACCGCCGAGTCATTCCCAACCACCTCCACCAAACCAGCCTCCTTACCAAGCTCCTCCTCAAACCCAGCCGCCGCATCAACCACCTTATCAGCCACCACCTCAGCAGCCACAGTACCCTCAACAGCCACCACTATCATCAGGCTACAACCCCCAGGAACAACAACCATACCCGATGCAGTCTTACTCGCCAAACCCTCCCCGTCAGCAGCAGCTCGCTGGTTCCTCCCTTTCACAACAGTTCTACAATGCGCCTCATCCTCAACCATCAATGTATGATGGAGCGGGTGGTCGATCTAATCCAATTGTCCCGCCCGGGTACTCGTCGGAACCTTACCCATACACTGGTTCACCTTCATCAGCGAAACAGCCACTTATGAGTAACAGCAGAACTGGTTACCCACAGCTCTCAACAGCGGATCCGTTGCCACACGCTTTGTCAATGGCTTCAGCCGTGAGCGGTGGCTCTAGCTCCCCGAGATCAGAAAGCAGAGCCCCAATCGACGATGTAATCGACAGGGTTACAACAATGGGCTTCCCAAGGGACCAAGTGAGAGCAACCGTTAGAAAACTGACTGAAAACGGCCAAGTTGTTGACCTCAACGTGGTGCTAGATAAGTTGATGAACGACGGAGGAGCTCCACCTGGAGGTTGGCTTGGTAGTCGGTAGCCACCATAATAGCCGACTCTGTACAGTACTTAATATCAAGTAGCAATTTTACCATCAATCACCGTTGTGACTTAATATCGGTTTCACTTGTGTTTTAAGAGCTTGTGACCCCATTGCGACTTCAAATGTCGATTTTATCATCCAGTTTGATGTCTGAGCTGAGAGATTACCGGTTTTTTTTGATGCTTGATATGTTTTTGGTTTTCTTTACTATTTATTATTGGCAATTTGTAAATCAGCTATATACCAGTCGAAGAAAGGACGCATAAATGAAGCTAGGTACCGATAAAACATCTCTGACATTATTATTACATAAACAAAAACAGACTGAATAAAACTCGTGAGAAGCTTACAAGCAAATACAAGATTTTGAAACACACAAACTTCTACCAAGAAACAAGAACCACAACAGACGAGCCTTTTTTTATTCACCACAAAACACAACTTACGTAGAGGCCACTCGGACCTCGTGAGTAGTTTTGGTGTCTCCTCTATGACCCTTGGTGTCTCGGTCTCGGACATCATGAGTCTTGGTCTCTCGGACATCATGAGCTTTGTCTTCAATGGTTTGTCCAGCATCTTTAGTCCTCTGTCCCACATACTCAGCCATGTCAGCCAAACGCTGCTTCGCTTCCTCCAGCTCCTCCGGCATACGCTCCCTTGCCCTACGGAAGAAGTTGAGCACCCACGACATCGATGATAGTCCCGTGAGACCTATTGCCCCTGACGTAAAAAATCCAGTCATAGCTAGACCAATCACAAACGCTGCTGGTACGATCACCGGACTAAAGATGAGGAACAACGGGAATGCTAGCATTAAACCGATGACCGAACCGGCTAATGTCAAACCGGCTAGAAGCAGTAGCGCCCCTCCAACCGGTACACCACCCACCACGGCTAGAACCTGCATGCACATGCGTTGCGCGTAAACCACATATATATATATATATGCATGTAATTTGTTGTATACAGTGTTGAGATTGGAATGATGGTAATTAAACGAGACCTGAGTGGAAGAAGGGCCAGACTGGGAGTGAAGGACTTTGATGCCGCCTTCGTGTTGGCGTTGAGGATGCACTATAAGCTGGTGTGACTGTGTTCGAACGTCCGCCATGTTCTTTTTTCCAGAGATCCTCCAAGTTCAAGCTTAATTAGAGAGCTTTTGCAAGAAACTAAACCCAAGAGAGTGTTGCTGAATCAATTGCTTCTACCTTTTAAGTAAGGTTTGAGAAATGAGATCGGTTTTGTCGTAATATAGATCAGTGACATGCTGCGAGAACATGACACGCAACAGAGTGACGTGGCACCTGAGAAGCTTGCATGAGTAACAAGTATTTTTTCCTTTTCAGATTAACTTTCAAGAGAGCGAATCCGATGATACCAATGAAGGGGCTGAGATGGACAAAGGCCTACACTAGTGTCTGGTGGAGCCATAATACATGAAATGCCTGTTTTACCCTTGTACACAGTGTTGAATAACCAATTATCCACTCTCTTCAGTGGTCTGAGTCTCCTATGAGGTTAAAAAACGTCAACTTTTGCTTCAACTCTTCTGAATTTACAGCTTCAATGGAGCAATGAGGATTCAGCCATGGAAAGCTTACTTATGTGGTGTATAGACTGTTGAACAGATTATGCAGGAGAGTGATCAAGAACTGGTTTCTCAACACTCAGTACATAGTCTTTGACTGAATTCAGTAAGAAAGATATCTGTGTTAGGCTTAAATCTCCACATTCTTATTACTCTTGATCCCTCTAATTCAACTTGAGATTACTTACTCTCTGTCTAGCTTCTGCAAACACTGAATCACAAGCTGTCTCCCTTAGATTCGAAATACGCAGAATTTTCCAAGTCTTTTCTCATATGCAAACCCAGCTGTTTCAGCATTCCATAAACCGGAACTTTCTCAGGATGCAAATCATCATCAGCTACAAATTTATGGACTTTTCTTCTAATCTCAATCAAACTCTCTGCCAATCCTTTCTTAATTCCTCTGTTCTTCACTGATACTCTCAGCTTCTCCACATTATCCCATTCTCCTTTAACCCCATACATATTCGACATTAACATGTAATAACCAGCATGATTAGATTCCATTTCAAAGAGCTTCTTTGCTACAGTTTCTGCCATCTCACCATTCTGATGAATCCTACACGCCCCTAAAAGAGTACCTAAGATTTGAGGTGTTGGTGAAAAAGGCATCCGCTTTATAACATCAATGGCAGTATCTAATTCTCCTACACGACCAAGAAGATCAACCAATACAGCATAGTGTTCTAAGTTAGGAACAAGTTTATAGTCACTCACCATCAACTCAAATATTCTTAGCCCCTCGTGAACCAAACCTGAGTGACTACAAGCAGATAAGATTGAGAGAAATGTCACTTCATTAGGCTCAACTTCTGAGCTCTGGACCATTTTACTAAATGTCTCCAGCGCTTTAGTGCCCTTTCCATGGATTCCATAACCAGTGATCAAAGAGGTCCAAACCACTGTGTCCTTTATGGTAATCTCATTGAATACTTTAGAAGCATTGCCTAGACTCCCACATCTCGAATAAAGCTCTACAAGAGAAGCTCCTATGAATGGGTTACTATCAAATCCAAATTTGATCACATAACTATGAAAGCATTCAGCTTGTTCGAGAAAGCCTAACTCCGAACATGACCCGAGAACCTTCACCATAAGAATAGCATCAGGCCTGGTATTATTTTCCAGCAGCATCTTGGAAAATTCCTCAGTTGATCTCTGAGCCATTCCATTTGATGTAAAGCCGCTTATCAAAGCAACCCAAGAGACCACATCTTTCTTTTGCATCCTGGAGAAAACAGCATAAGCTTCTTTAGGGGAGAAACACTTCATATACATATCAACTAGAGCAGTTGAGACTTTCAATTCTGTTTCTAAACCTTTCCCAATGGCTAATTCATGAGTCTTCCTACCTTGCTCTAAATCATGAGCAGCTGCACAAGCTTGTATAACACTAAGCATAGTAGCTACATTAGGTTCTATTCCATTATCCATCATTTCATTGAATACACGCAATGCTTCAGTAGCAGATCCATTTTGAACGTAGCAAGCAATCACTGTGCTCCAAGATATAACATCTTTCTCTGCCATCATCTTGAACAAATTAACCGCTTCTTTGAAAGCTCTCGACTTTGCGTAACAATTCAATAGTGAATTTAATAAAGACAAATCCTTTTCAAAGCCTCTCCTCATCACAAAACCGTGCACACATCTCCCAAGCCTTGAATTAGATAGTTTTGTACATGCAGAAACTAGTGTGATTAAAGTTATCCGATCAGGACTAACATCCGAAGACATCGCCATTCTCCTGCAAAACTCTACTGCCTCAAAGGGAAACCCATTTTTCTCAAACCCAGAAACCATAGAAGACCATGTCACTATATCAGGCTTCTCCAACTCATCAAACACCCTCAATGCTTCAGTCATTCTCCCACATTTCGCATACATATCTATCAGAGCAGATCCAACATAAAGGTCAGCCCCAAGCGTAGCATCCTTCTTGACGAATCCATGAATCATTTCTCCATACTTAACTTCCCGTAACTCCACACAGGCCTTGAGAGCAACTGGAAGCGTGAAATGATCAGGCTTTTCTTCATGGCCGAACATTTGACCCAAATGACACAGAACTTGTCCCCATTGTTTATCTCTGGATAAACTCTTGAGAAGAGTATTCCACTGATATAAGCTTCTCTTCGTCATTTCGTCGAACACTTGGCGTGCATCAACGGAAGAAGAGAACTTCCGATAAAAACCCATCCAATTTCCTTGGAAAGGATCTTATCACGGATTCAAAACTTCGGAGCCCGAGAAAATTTCCATTGATTTCCTCGCTCCTACATTGCTTGAGCAATTCAAATTTCCTTCTCGCAGTAACTTAGCGAGGGAGAGAATGTTTAAGCATTGACATGAAGCGCAAATAGGCCACGAATACGACGACGACGTTTCACGTAGCTTTGGGCCTGGGCCGAATCCGTTGGGGTAATAATAGTCCAATACTCTTATTATGATTTCTTATTTGTACCATTTTTATTGGTCAATTGTTTTCTTATTTGTATTTATTGCTTTTAAAAATACGAACAAGGATAAGCTTAACAAAACAATAAATAAAGTATTAAGGAAAGTAATAACAAACCACGTGGCAGTATCAGAGCTTAAGCTGTTATTGAGAATTGGAATAGCTACAAATACGCACAAGCCTCCTTCTTCTTCTTTCTTCAAGCTCTGACTCATCAAGCCAAATTTCTGAGAATCGAATCGAATCGAATCGAAGCCATTTTCGAAAACGAAGGTCAGCATTTGAGACTGCGTCATATTTCTCGATCTTGTTCAATATCTCTTTCTCTCCTTCGTTTCACTTTGATATCTTTCTCTCTCGTCTACATTTGAGCTACTTTTTTCTTGTTGTTATCATCACGTAGGTGTTGTAGGTGTCGTGTAGTGAGATTCATCTCGGATTTGGTTGATCGATTGATGGATTTGTCACGAAACGCGTAGAATTCGGTGGAAGTTGTTCAAATCGGAAGCCGATCGCGAAGAAAGTTAGGTTTCGTTACGTCGCAATCCGAACGATTTTCCAATATTCGATCAAACGTAAGCTGATTCTTTCCCTTTTTTGTTCGTATCTGCTTTAGCCGTGTTCGATTCTCTTTTGTTTAATGTTTATAGTATTTTTTCTTTAACCTTTCGTGATTTCCCCTTTTTGCGGAATTGATTCTGGTTTTGGAATTATTCTACCTATTGATTTGTCCGCATATTCCTATTATTCCCATTATTTTAATACTTGTGTAGTCAGAATCTTGATTTTAGTTTGGTGTTGTATAAATTCTTGATAGATTTGCATATCTGGGTTTTGGTTGGTGTAGTTAAGAGTGAAGGATATAGTAGAAAAGGAATAAGAGCCAAAGAGGGATGCCTTTGAATTTAGGCAACGATGGCGATGGATCGTCTCGGATTATTCTGACTGAGCCTCGCGGATCAACTGCAGAGGTTTGACTGTTTCATCTTTTCTCTTCATTGTTAGTTTTCTGTAACTTGTGTTGAGTCTGCCTTCATTTGTTGTTGTCATGATTAGAGTTACGTATTCTCGGATTGGAATCTTTCAGGTGATTTTACATGGAGGACAAGTGATTTCTTGGAAAAATGAAAGGAGGGAAGAACTGCTTTATATGAGCAGCAAGGTAAACTTTGATATGACCTTTCCTTTGCACTGTATAACCTGTGGCATTAATTAGAAGCCTGAATGTATAAACTGCCAAATAAGGAGTGAAGCAGGATGTTTTTTTAAATGCTTTTTTTTTTTTTGATGTGTCTCGTTTAGGCTCAATATAAGCCACCCAAGGCGGTCAGAGGAGGAATACCTGTTTGCTTTCCACAGGTTTGGGATCTCAGATCACTTTAAAACAGTTGAATAACGTTTTCCTGTGCTTTCGTACCACCATCAAGCATATTGTGCCATCTTTGCAGTTTGGAAACATTGGTGGACTTGAGCGACATGGATTTGCACGGAACAGACTCTGGTCATATGATGATGATCCTTCGCCTCTGCCTCCTGCTAACAAACAGTCATCAGTTGATCTGATACTGAAGGCTACAGAAGATGATCTGAAGATCTGGCCTCACAGGTGTGTGGGAGAGAGATCTATAACTTACAGCATGATCAAGCCCAAAACATTGAATCTTGCAGCCACATGTTTTTTCGTTGCTCGTGTTCTATGATTTGGATGTTTTGTCTGTGGTTCTTTATTATCTTCTCTTTGGCTAACTTCATAACTCCTCGGTGTTATTTGCGCAGCTTTGAACTCCGTGTTCGCATTTCTATCAGCCCTGGGAAACTTACTTTGATCCCTCGTGTGAGGAACATTGACTCAAAGGCATTCTCCTTTATGTTTGCACTTCGAAACTACTTATATGTATCTGACATAAGGTGTGCCTTTTCACATTTTATTTTTCTCTACTTAGATTGCTTCCAATCTCTGAGTAATAACTCATGTGGGTATCGAATTTGCAGTGAAGTACGGGTTGAGGGCTTGGAGACACTTGATTACCTGGACAACTTGATGGGTAAAGAAAGATTCACGGAGCAAGCAGACGCAATTACCTTTGACGGTGAGGTAAGTAATGTCAACCATTGTTTTCCCTTTGAAGTTTTTTCAAAGGTAAAAACGCCCAAGATTGATATAAAGTCAGTGTGTGTGCAGGTCGATAGAGTGTACTTGAACACGCCAACAAAGATTGCTGTCATAGATCATGAGCGAAAGAGAACCATCGAGTTGCGAAAGGAAGGCATGCCCAATGCAGGTGCGCATTCAAACAGATTAAAAAAAAAAAAATTTGGTTTTGATTTCTTCTTCTAATGGATTTTGACATGGAAATGAGCCAGTTGTGTGGAACCCTTGGGACAAAAAGGCAAAGACCATAGCTGATATGGGGGATGAAGATTACAAGACAATGCTTTGTGTAGATTCTGGAGCTATCGAGCCTCCTGTTTTGTTAAAGCCTGGTGAGGAGTGGAAAGGCAGACAAGAACTCTCTATCGTCTCATCGAGTTACTGCAGCGGACAGCTTGATCCACGCAAGGTTCTTTACGGAGATTAGTGATNCCTTTTTTCTTCTTACTACTAAGTAAAAACCAATAATAAGCCATGATCTGATCTCATTATCAACTTGTCGAGAGAGTCGAGACTCAGGTGTCTGTCTATGTTTTGATCTTGTAGCTATCCTTTCACTTTGTTTTGAGTGGTTCTGAGTGTTACACAGACAGAAGAGAGGCCACGGTCATATTTTGTAACGTTGACTCTGTGTTTGACCGTCAAACAATGTATTTGGTCTCTTTTGATTCGTGAAACCATTTATGGCCCGGCCCATTCATGAAATATCATCATTATTCTCTGTCCACTATGCTCATGAAATATCATCATTATTAATTTGAAATTTTCATTTAACTGCAAATAAAGAAAAAACAAACTTGGGTTTTACTTTTACAAGTTTCTTTTTTTGTGCGTAGAATTTCACTTCTGATGAACGTATTTTTCACGTTGATCATATTTTCTAAGATGGAAACTTGATAAAATAAATATTGGATCCCATTCTCCAACGGTATGTTATGTTGTTGTCCCAACTTTTGGTTTAGTTTTTTAATCATTAAATAATGCGAAATTACGGGTAAATT